TATATATATATATATAAAGTCGATAATTAAAACAAGTTATAGGTTCGATGACAAGTTTAGAACCCATAAACTTCATATCCTATCTCTTTCCATCCACCATCGTTGATAGTCCATTTTGTAACGTTCCAGCTCACTTGTGATATTGTCTGCTTTGGGTCTAGACACACAGGGGTTTAACACACGTCACTAAGGTCTAAGGCATGCTTTCTTTGTATACTTAGCATCTCTCCCGTATTTTGCTAATATAAGATTCACTTGGTATTACATAGACCTCCTCATGGACTCAACATCCTTATTGAGATTTGCCCCACTTTCTTGGGATTTGCCTAAACTCAGTTGAACAATGAGGTTTGTCCCACATCATCCAAGATTGCATACGGAGTGATTCTGATACCATTTGTAACAGCTCAACTGAATAGTAATATTGTTCGCTTTGGACATAAACTTGCACGCATTTAGGATTGACGGTACACTTTCTTATATACCCAACAATTCTCCCCTATTTTATTGGTGTAAAATTTGTCTGGAATATTATACATCTACAATTTAATGCAGAGGGAATTATGATAATATTCTTTTTTGGTTAAAAGTTCCTTACTGTAATTGACTAAAAGGAATGTTATCAACCCAAAAGAAAACGAAGTGTAAGGTCAGCTAATTCAGCCACCATCCAATTTGCCAAAAAGAAAACAGCTGTAACCGTCCAATTTCCAGCCAATTTTCGGTAAGTGAGAATGTGACAAATTGACCCATCTTTTTCCATGTGCTAAGCTGAATGATTTCCGCCAGTTATTGCAAAGTACGTTACACTAGTCAATGTTTGTTTTAAAAGGCTTTTGCTTCTATTTGTCAAAGATTTTAAAAAGACAAAAAAACAGGAGAATGCTGTTGACAAAATTCCCCAATTTATTAGTCTTTCAGACCGTTAAGTAATATCTTAAACAATCCTAAGTTCCAAACCCCACCTCTTCGATTTAATAAGAGATTTTTTTAAACTTACGCGACGTTTGTAAGTGATTTATGTCACAAAAAAGTTGTCTTTTTCGGGATTTAGAATTTTATATAATCTTCTAAAATAATTATTTTGCCTTCAATTTAGATGCTTTAAGATGCATATTGCTAAATTAAGACATTTGAAATCAGATATCCTGCTGATATTTTGTCACAGATAGTTAAAATATAGATATTTCAAATTTGTCGGTCACAATCTATTTTAGGAGTTCTTTATATGATAAATCCTTTTTGCCTGGTATGGCAGTAAACTATCTCCTTTCTTGATTAGTTTTAACTGCTTGCTTTCTTTGTGATTTTTCTCATAGAACAAAACAAGGGAAAGGAACTGTATTTTGTTTCGCTATCTTTTTTCATCTTTCTAACTTTCTATTTCCATTCCCTTCTGTTGTTTCCATATAAGCAAAAATTTGAGACTGTTGCTATAGACTTGGAGAAGTCACTAGGCAACTAGACTAACTTGACCAAATTCTAAGTCTGACATTTCCTTGAAGTCGAATTCCAAATAGACAATTTTTAGGAGTATTTAAGTTGGGAAACAACATTAATATGGGCTCTACAAAAATACCTTACATGTCAGGCCGAAAGAGCAAAAATATCATCAAAAGCAATACGCCGGAGTAGGAGGTTTGAAAAGTAGAATTAGAAAAAACAAAGAGTGAGCTAAAACACTTTAGGCCAAGTGTAATCCTATATATGCTCTTTGCACATAAGGGTGTAATCCATAAAGTAGGCTAAAAATTATAAGATCTCAAGTTCAAATCTCAGCAGAGAGCCAATACCACTAGGCAATATCACTCCATCTGTCCTGCCTTGGGCACATATTTACCAGGTACCTATGAGGTTGCATGCAAACTGGTTCTAACACAAACGATTACATAGAAAAAAGAGGGCACGTGAGAAAATTCTGGAACAAACAAGAAACTGGTACCTCAAATAATTTATTAGCCAATAAAACTAGGCTAAAACGAATGCTACTAGAACTTTCTTTCGTTTATTCATTACATTTTTAAACCTTTGTCATTCCGTTTACTACACAAATTAGCAGAGTCACTTGAGCGGGTAAAAAAATAATTACGTATCCCAACAAATATTACATGAGCAAACGTACACTTCAAGTAGCCTATCATTTTATACTGCTAATGTGTTAAACCGAAAATTCATTTATACGAATAAGCTTTGACCGAATCTAATTTTCACTATTGAAAGTCAAAGTTGGATAAATTACAAGTCATAAGAAACACATTATCAGATAATTTCTCTTTTAGAAGTAATATTGTATTGTTGGAAAAATGACATTGTATAGCCGCTGTAAAAATAATAGCCGAAAAAATGTACAAAATTTATATATTTTTTGGTATATATATATATATATATATATATATATATATATATATATATATATATATATATACATTTTGTACGTTATATACAAAAAAAATACAAATTTTATATACTTTTTCGGCTACAGATGTAAATAGTTTCTGGTGCAGGCTAAAAGTGATAATAGCCCAATATTGTTCTACTAAAAGGCCCAGAAAAGGAACCCGAAGGCCCAAAAGCATGGTATGGATGAAGCAATACTTTTCCAGCTTATTACGGTATTACCATCACTATAAGACCACAATTTCTTGGACAATTCAACAGCTAGGCTTTCTAATAGGGTCATAACTTGTTTAATCATAGAGGTAATGAATAGACGCAAAAATAGCAGAACTAATAGGCAATAGCATGAAATATTTAGGTAGTCAAAATCATTTTTTTCCCCTTTATATTTGTCATTGGTTAGAGAGCTACTTTGTATGTTTACATAATCATAAAAAAGCTACATCATCCAATCCAAACCACCACCCTCCCCCGATCACATGTCGGGGAAGAGAAGGGTTGAAATGAGAGGTTCAAAAAAATTCTGCAATAAGTTCTACATCACAAACAAAACCATATCACAAAGCATCACATCAGAACCACATAAATAGTAATTACAAGCTAGAAATAGAAAGAATCAAGCTCACCAACATGTAAGTTCAAAGTCCAGATTGGCACCTTTGAGATTGCATTGAGGTATTAGCTTTGCCATGATTCTCATGACAGACTATGTGAGTGGTATTCTCACATTGACTGTTGGTTTGATTCGAGTACACAACTTTCTTCATGTACGGTTTATCAGAAAAAGATCTGGTTCCATATCTCATGCTTTCCAAACTCGGACTGTGCTATCTACAGAAGAAGTTATCATGCAGCTTTCTTTCGGGTGATAACTTACGCTAGTTACCTGCAATGGAAAAGCAACTATTTGATCTCTTCATGCATTAAAATTACTCCAAATTATTTAAGCTTTTCTATCATTCCTATAGCAAGTTGGACCACTTGAGATGAGTGTGAACATGTAACACCTGAAAATCTTATGCACAATGTAACCATTTAATCAAGTTTCTTCAGGTCAGAAAGCTTCTACCATGGGATCGAGAAATCATCAGACTGAACTTTGAATATACTGATCAGGAAGAAGGTTAAGAAAGCAGTAATGCAAGATTATATTTCATATATTAGCCAGAAGGGACTTTCTTTCTACTTCCAATATGTGGCCTTGTCCCATATTTGGAGGATAAAAACTTATTTACTTGTCGACCAGAAAACAACTTCAACAAAAAGTACGAAGATGGTGACCAAGAATTTATGAAGATCAAAGGATAACCAAGTATAGAGTATTTTATGCCAAATACAGTACATAATACACAGCATGCTGCCATTGAAATGGATGCAGCTAACTGAGGGCCACATGTAGGGGCAAACAGATTTAGGTGCCTATCTGCAAGTATATATTGGATAAAGGACATCAGAAGCACTCAAAACTTCATCTCTAAAGCCTATATCTTTTATTTTTTTATTTTTACCCTTCTCTATTCTTTTGTAGTGGGTGGTCTACCTTCTGATGCTGAACCAACTCTTTCACCTCTTTCGGTAAGAATAGCTTGAGTAAGAATATCTAAAACGTCAACATATCCTTAATGAAGCAGACCAAATAGGCTCTTTTCAAAAGATTTAACAATTGTTTACTCAATTAATGTTTTAAGCTTTTGAATTCCTAAATCCATTAACAAAAGAGAAAGAAACAAAAGCTACAAATGACTTCCTTTTCTCCTTTGCTATAAACAAAGTTTATATTTTTGGAATAGCTGGGATGTTGTTGGAAGGTGCTTTTGTGATTTGAACAATTACAGCAACAACAACCAAGCCTCAACCCCAAACTCAAGTTTGGGTCGGCTATATGAATCCTTATTGATCATGTCTTTCCATTTAAGCTCATATCAGGCCAGTATTATACTGTGATATGAATTATCAAAAGAAAAATTATTCTTCTAAAGGGCTCTGACAAATTTTACTAGAAGTGAATGATTAAGATGAAGGCATACAAGGCTATCTAGTGTACAACAACAACAACAACAACAACAACAAAACTCAATGTAATCCCACAGGTGGGATCTGGGGAGGGTAGTGTGTACGCACACCTTCCCGCTACCTTGAGAAAGTAGAAAGGCTGCTTCCGGTATGACCCTCTATCTGGTGTAACAGAAGTAAATAGCGCAAAGAATAGAATAAGCCCCAATGAGGAGAATAAATTGATTTTTCCTAACTAGTCACGTTTGGGATTAAATTGCTATTTCCTAATTAATCAGGTGAGGGATCCTACAGGAAATAGAATATGTTGTGTAGCTAGATGCATCTACAATAACACTTTACCACTAAATCATGAGCTCGGAAGCTGGACACAACTGACGCGTCGACCAGATCCCAGAAGTAAATATAGCCATCTTCCGAGCCGCCAGCTACATGTGCATCACTGTTTGTAAGGCAGCAATCTGTTTTAAAAGACTGCAAGGAGAAAACAGTACAACAGAATAAGCTAGGGGCTATTACACCACTTTACCTGGAAAGTAGACAAAATCAAGAAAAGCAAAAGGAGAACCACCAAAGTGCCAAAGCCGGGAATGGATCTTTAAGAAAACAGTTCCTATTTATTTATTTTACTTTTTGTAAAAGATATAAGAAATGATTGCTATAAGAACAATAGACCACCACTCATAACCAGGTTTCCGTCCTAACCTTGCAAATATGGCCCTTATATTCTTGCAATAGTTCGCCACTAGACCTGTCGAAAGCAATTAAAAACAAGATGGTATGAATAACAAGGGTTACCAAAAAGCAAAGGAACAAGATGACAGACTTGCAAAAGAAATTACCTATCCAGAAGTCGAAGGGTTGAATCTAAGCAACTTGCTAATATACAGTTGCCATCATTTGAAAGAGAGATACAGTTGACAGGCTGCCCAAAATTATCAGATATCTCTCTACAGTAAAAATATACATCACATTAACTAACAATCCTTTTCGAATATAACATCCCGGAGCAGAAATGTGAAAGGAAATTAGCGATTTTAACGTACAGGCAGTACATACCTCCCAACTCTGATGTCAAATGTTCGAACAGTTCCGTCAACACTTCCAGCAATTATCTCAGTTTTTGTGAGACAAATAGACATGACACTATCTAGAAAGGTATCAATGATCTGCAAATTTAACAAAAGAGAAGCTCAAATATGTGTTTAATTAAAAGACCAAAGAAAAGAAGCTCAAATCTTAGCCAGCAAATAGAAGAAGGCCACCAAGAGCCTTGTAATAAAGGAGGAAAATTTGTTCGACACCCAAAAAGTAGGCTAATTCAACAGTCCTTTGTTCAATTTCTCATGGCGACAAATTTTCGTCACTATGTTCCTTTTGTACATTTCGTGGAATCTGGAATATCTTGGCCAAATCCAGAGGCGGATCCAGGATTTTAAGAGGATGAGTGCACTATTGTGAAGAGGTGGATATAGAATTTACATTTGACCGGTTTAACTTTAGGTTCTTGAACCCATTACACTTTTGAAAATATAGTATCAAAATTATATTCTTTTTAAATTGATAGGGATTTTCACATATATATCTATAATCCGTGTTGAAAACAAGACCGTCTGGAGCGAGATTTGAACCGCCAATTTCACTTGTAGAGGTTCACCCAATAATTATTGTACCATAGGAGTCTTTGAGCTTGGGTGCACACACATATATCTAAGTAAGTTTAAATAGATATAACATTGTTATACATGGTTTAGAAGAGGAGCATGAGTTCACGTGAACCCACATCTCTTAAGCTAGATACGCCCCTGCCTCCATCCCTCCCTCCCTCCCTCCCTCACTCACTCAGTTTTCCTTGTTCCCATTTGATTACCTGTGGAGTGTTGAAACTGAAAATAGTCCACGGACTGGAACTTAAACTACATTCTGTATTGAGCGTGGAGTGTTGAAACTGAAAATAGTCCATGGACTGTATCTTATACTACATTCTGCATTGAGTTTTTTTTCATGTACCGTCCTACCAGTTAAAGATCAAGTAGTTTTTTTTTCTTCCTGTATGTTTTACTTCTAAATTAAGTTAGAAAGTAGATTAGTTGAGGAACAGAGTATTAACATAATCCAATTTGAAGATGTGTTCTTTTTTTTCCGACTTCCTGTGCTGGTCCCTGCAGTGTTACAGGGCACTGAAGTAGAAGAGACAATAATCTTCCAAGGGCAGCAATGGATGGGTGTTTTTGAGGTTCAATTGTGGAACAAGTCCTTCCTTCCATCTGAAACACTGTAAGAGATCAAACCACCGTTTACAACTCAACAAACATCCTCAAATCACATCGGACTAGACATGGATTTAACAAGAAAAGATTTTACACTTCATTGTCCACTCAATTTATTTCCTCAGATCAAAACATATTTGGTTTAGCTGAAGTTTAATCCTAACTTTCTAGTTCTACTGAGAATGTTTACCTAGATAGATCTTGCAAATCAAAGAGGAATTTATTCACCTGGATTGGCTCAGTGCTATGAGATCTGCAATCCCAAACACGCAATGATTTATCATATCCTGCTGATACTACAACAGAAGCATACTCATTAAACTTCACAGCATTCACCTGGCAGAGATGGAAGAAGACAAAACTGTTATCCAACCAGTGGATGCACTGCTGAATCATTTAGATGCAAGGTAGAACAATTAGAGATTATGCTTTAAAATCAAGATACTGGCTTCTAGCAAAACCTACCAAAAATAGCCTCTCTTTAAAAACCTGAACGGCTCTTTTTCTTTCAAGTACTCTGAGCTAAATTAAGGTGCTGATACACAATAACATTAGTTTGATTTAGAATTGTGCATTATAAGATCATACATTAAGATAGTGAACCAAACACTTATCAGAACTGCCGCTGAAAGGTTCAGAAAAGGTTACAGAAAAATGACCTCCAAGGCCCCAATCACGAAGGAAATGCCAATAGCAAAAGGTATGAGTATAATTGAAACAAATACGGGCCAGATTTGCTGTTGTTGCTAGAACTTGAAAAGCACAAAAGAACCCATTCACCGGGATTAACCCTAGAACTTGAAAAGCACAAAGAACTCATTCACCAGGATTAACCCAAAGTTGAGGCTTTGAAGCATCCATAAAAGTAAACTAGAGCTTTACAAAAACATAAATATGAACTACAAACTCTCGAAAAAGTAATAGTTATAAAGTAAAAGAATTCCAAGTAGAGGATATTAGTAACAACTTGACTCTTCAAGGCAAACAAGATATACAATTTCTGTTTTTTTAATAAAGTTAGCAAACACGAATCAAACAAAAGAGGTAATCATCAAATTCTTTTATTGGTGAGATCAGGATGATAGAACAGCTATAGCTTCAACACCTGTAAATTAATAGCCAAATATATACCTGAACACCAAAAAGAATTTCTAGTCAGCCATTTTAACAAAATGCTGGGTTTCTTTCTATTCATGTACATATTCTACATTGATATGTAGAAAGCTTAAGACTGTCAAAAAGCGCAGCATAAATTTGTAGATGTATTGTCTTCTTGACTATTTTTTGTTGTCTATGTACTAGGACAGATTCGGATTTCAGATTCTTATTGAAAGTTCATGCTAACCAAAGCAAGAAGCAGTTCTGAATAAGACCAAGTATGATTAAGACTTCAATACTAAAAGTAATCAAGAAAAGACCACATTAAATGTGATCCAGTTGTGAAAGTCTCCACAGCAAAACGAAATTGAAATTTGATCACAAACATATCAAAGCACACACAAAAGAGTGGAATCTTAAAACAGTAAGATAAATATACTCCTGGGCCATGAACCTTTGACATTTTACCACCTGTTTACGTTGAATAACTTAGAACACACAGATTAGCAAGAACTTTGACCCTATTTTTGACATCGGCTTCATTTATGATGGCGTAAATGTTTTCAGATGTGTTTACCCTTCCAAGTACTTTCTACAACTTAGTTGCCTTATTTGGACAATCTCTTTGAATGAAGAAACTATTTTTTTATGAAGTAACGAAGACACTATTATTATTATAATTATCATTTCGATAAGTTGAGTGAAGAAACTATTACACCATGATAAGGATAGTGATTCACATTTCCAGTGGTACTCATTGCGTGCTTGCTCTTAATAGAATTCATACTAAGACTAGTCTTCACTGCTCACCACTACCATCACTAAGTATTGCCATGGACCATCAGAATTATCAGCTATAAATTAACACAATCTTCTACAGCTAATCCTATCATCATCAATTCACCGTCACCACTCCATCACCACCTAGTATAGCTTTAATGCCAACCTATAATTCCTGAAACCGCTGCAATACAATCCCACCCTGCCCCCCTTCTTTTTTAACAGATTCCTTCTTAAGGGATTTTCCTGTAAATTGTTTCAATGGTTATACCTGATACTTTCTCAGAAAATGTTTGTGAAAAAGATCTGCCTCCATATAGTATACTGATTTGAACAGACCTTCGAGTATTATACTCATTAAAATTTCCAACAAAGCTTTCTTTGCATTCTAAATTAGGAATAAGAATCAACCTCACTGTCATGGCCACGAAACTTGCGAATTACACGACCTGTTGATACATCCCAATAAAATACTTGTCGATCGCCACCACATGAACAAAGTTTTGAATTATCCCTACAATATTAAAACAGTAGAAGCATGCGAGCCATCAAAAATTTGCATCACCAAATCGTCTTTGGAATCAGGCCAAACGAATGATAAATAAACCATAAAAGTTAAAATCTAGGGACTTGAATACTTGATTATACAAAAGGAGATAATATCCAACATGAACATATAAATGCATGAATGATCTGTTGTAATTTTTCTACAAGTGTGTATGATATATTACTATTTACTACTCTTAACTCAAAATTTTGTTCTTTACATTGACTTCTCCCTTTTTATCAGTAGATTGTCTTTTCTCTTTTATTCATTATCAAATCACCAGTTGACAAAGAGAGAAACGTATAGCACTTAGAGATTTAAGCTTTATACCAGGTTCTAGTTGAAAAGTTGAAAGTCCTGGGTAACAAAAGGTTCAATGCTTCTTTTGGAGTAGGAATCTGGAAGCACGTGCACTCATTCGGAGCAACTTTAATGAAGTTCTGGTTTCGCACCTGGAAATGTTAGGAAAATTAGATTTTGGGAAGATGCTTGGTTGGGGCACTCCCCTTTAAGCATATCCTCTCCACATAGTGCTTTGATAGCTGAGTTATCTACTGCTCAAGGGCGGGATCTCTTCTCAGAAGAAACTTGAATGACTGGGAAGTACAAAGTACATGTCAACTTCTACATTTGCTTGGTAACACTAACACCTCTCTGAACCAATCAAAGATTGATTCCATTACCTGGAGGGTTTAAAAAATGGTATTTATTCGATTAAATCATGCTACAAGTGGCTATCCTCTTTTGACAATAGAGATTTTGGCCATGGAAGAAGATTTGGCACAACACAGTGCCCCTGAGGTATCTTGTTTTACTTGGTTAGTGGTTAGAGAAGCCTGTCTCACTTAAATAAACCATATGTGGTCTCCAACTTTGTAGCAGATGCCCCCCTTTGCGAAGAACATCCTGAAGATGTCGGTAATCTGTTCTTGCATTGTAAGGTCACTTAGATGCTGTGGATCATGTTCTTTGGTATGTTGGGCGTAGCTTGGCCTATGCAAAACTCTACTGTGGAGTTTTTGAAGAGTTAGAACAGATAGAGGCTAAGCATTCAATCAAGAAAAAAAACCTAGAAAACGATTCCCATTGCTATTTAGTGGACGATTTGGACGGTAAAACTACAGAACCTTAGGCAGATCAAGAAATACACTTAGCCTTAAGTTGAGAAATCTTTCTTTGCTTGTTTTTTTGGTGCTATCTGATCTTCATAAAAGATAAAGATGGGGACTTTAACAATTTGTAACTATGTTTCGACGCACTAGCTTAGTGCTGTGCTTCGCTTTTGTTACTGACACAAAAAAGTTTATCTTTTCACCAAGTTTGGAAGCAAGACGAAACAGCAACTCATATTCTTACTTCAGGTGCTGAACCTGCCACACTCCGTCTAAGATATTTACTCACAGGTTTCGCCTAAATATTAATCTAAATAAACAGGAATAAAACTAAGTCTCAGGTTTTCCGCACCAGCTCTTTAAAAAAATCCATGGATCCTCTTATGCATAAACACTGAGCTTCATTGGAGTAAATGAGGAAGGGTGGAAGGAGAGCTATTTCTTTTTGGTGCGTCGACTACTTGTATAGGTTATTGGGTGGCTTGCCATATATTGGTGTAGGTTCTTTCTTTTTGGTATATTGCTTCTACAGGTAAAAGAGGAGGATAAGTAAATACGTGATGGATTGGATACCTTTCTATATTCAGCTCTTTTCAACCCTCCAAAGGCGAATGTGAAGGAAGAAGTATATACTTCCTCGATCCAAATACGATGTCAATTTTTTTCCCGGTTAGATGGAAACAGTATTTCACTGTCAACATTTCATCTTTTAGTTCGTATCAGAATTATGTCCACTTTTGCTAGAATAAAGTAGTCACATAATCACATGTAATATAATCCTAAAAGGTTTTCCAAGGGAAACCCTTTAATAATCGTTCAGACATTTTATTTTTCTCTACTTTGTACTGCATAACCAAAAAAAAAATGTGATTACTCACATTCTCCAGCTGAACAAATTATGATCCTTTTCTCTACATTATTTCTTTTTTTTTTTTTTTGCTTTTTGTACGGTTAAAGTGACCTCGATCAAGTATATATTCAACAAAATAAGCAATTCAAAAGAAAGTTTATATATTATACTAATTCACAAGCTTAATCACAATATACAGATATCGAAAACAATTTATGAGAGAAGAAAAAAAAGGAAAAAGAGAGAAGAGTGTTACTGGGTGACATGGACATCGCGGACTTCACGGCCGTGAGCTTTGTAGGTTTTGATGTGAATTCCACGGTGAGGATTCCATAGCCGGATGGTACGGTCCTTGCCGCAGCTCAGGATGTACTCACCATTGCTGTTGAACCTCGCCGCTAATACTGCTCCGACGTGCCCTTCCAGCATGTGTACCTTTTGCTTCGGCAATTGTACAGCGGTCATCTTTGCCGGTAACGACAATGGAGTTTTTCAGTTTCGCGCAGGAGCTCTTTTCGCTCTATAGGAATGAGAACAAAATTTTTGCTCTTTTTGCTCTATAGAAATTTGTTTGTTGTTCAATAATGGGCTATAAGCCCAATATGACTTTGGGGCTAGCTTGATGAAAGCCCAATAATATAATTAATGAGAGCCCATATTTTATAAAAGGAATTTTTACATTCCTATATCACATAGGAAACCTTTTTACCTTCAATGTTTAAGTTTTGACTTAATTACACTTAGTATACCAAATTACCATTTCTATACCATAACTAATTAAGGGCATAATTAATGAGATATTTTTTACTCCTTAATTAAAGGGTTTCCGTTACCCGCCCAGTATCTCCACTCCTCCTTACTTTCTCTCTCCGAATCACTCAGCCCCGTACCCACATTCTTTAACCCATACCCAGTAAAAAGGTTGTGGAGGATTTGAGCATGTTTAATCAATTTCTATTATTTTCATTGCCATAAACGACGAGATTACAGTAAGTTTATAAATAAAATAATTGTGGTTTGAGTGATAATGGATACTGGTAGCAGATGTTAGGCGTAGCTGGTGTATTCGGCGGCTCCCTATTCAGTGCTGTGCATGGTTCCTTGGTAATTTTTAGTTTGATCAGGGAAACCACAGAAAATGAATCTGCTAATGAAGGTTACAGATTCGGTCAAGAGGAAGAAACTTATAACATCGTAGCCGTTCATGGTTATTTTGGCCGATTGATATTCCAATATGCTAGTTTCAACAACTCTCGTTCGTTACACTTAGGCGGACCGAAGATTTGAAGGTGACGGGGGCACCATTATTTTTCAACATAGCTATACATATCTCTAGCTTTGAAGTTTAGCGTACAACTCTCTTGAAGGGTATATGAGGTCTTTTGATTTAGGAATTTAATTAGAAATAGAAGGGGACGGGGAAGTTCGAGGGAAACAAGAGCAAAAAAAAGTAATTAAAAAAAAGTTATTTGTAGTTGTGATGTTCTGCCTTTTGTAGTTGTAGATATTTTGCGGACAGAATAGTTTTATTGCTGTATTTTACTGTTTGTAGTGTAATTGTAGTTAGTTTGTAGTTTATGTAGAACACTACAAGATTAATTGTAGTCTAAAATGTAGATATAATGTAGACATGATTGTGGATGATGTGTTCATTGTTGCCCTGTAACTGTAGGTAAATTGTAGTTATTTTTATATTAGGTACTTAAACTGTAGGTTATTTGTACATTCACTGTAGGTAAACTGTAGGTAAATTTGTTTAAATTGTAGAGCTGGTTTTATACATAATTATAGAGTTTTTGTAGTTAATAGTAGTTATAATGTAGGATTCATGTACCGCTTCACACCATCTATCACAGTATGGATATGATCTGTTGAAGCCCTCACCTAGAATTACATAACAAACAGCAATAAAAATATTTACAATCATAAAATAGTTTATCTACAACGTATCTACAATTATATCTACAAATTATCTACAATCTACAAATTAACTATAATTTGTCTACAAATTATCTACAATCTCACTTTGATATTCCTCTATGACGGGAGAGGCTGGCATATCCCACACTGTAGTTTATTTGTAGATAAATGTAGGTATTTTGTAGATATTATCGTAAAATCAGACTTCCATATTGAAATCTCGTACACTTATGAGTAACGGATACAATCCTAAGTTTTTTTTCTCTTTTTTTGTCTCCATATATACACTAACCCCCATATTATTCCTAATCTCCATTGGAGGACAATTCGCATTCACAATGGATTTGATTTCTACAATTTTTTCTGAAGTATCAATCATTAATTGCTCTACAATTATAGAAATCAACATACTGTAACTTGCATCCTCACGAACACAATTCCATCAACTTGAAAATCTTTAAATCTGCCATAGCTATCCCAATTTCCATTAAAATGTAGCATGATTGGGATTTTGGACATGATTGCTTGTCGTTGCACAGTTATTGTTCAATATTTTGTCGCTTTTTTTGATTTTTTAGATTTAGAAAAAAAAAAAAAGACGAATAACAGAGAATCGCAGAATTGATTTCTACAATTTGACTTGAACTTTTTGATTAGGGATTGATGAAAAAAGTCGACAAACTGAGATTTGCAGAACTGATTTCTACAATTTGGAATGAGCTTATGATTTCGATGAACTGATAGTTTGATTTGTAGCGACGAACTGATATTTTGATTTCGACGAACAGAATTTGTTTATAAATTGAAGATGAGCGATTTCCGTGATATGATATGATCTTATTCACGCCAAATCTGTTCAGAATATTCTGCTCCTAAAATTTAGCTCGCAAAAATAGGAAGATACAGCTGCTATTAATTAGCTTTTAATGATTGGTACAAAAATTGTAGAAATAATATGGACTGGGCGGGTAATTTAGGAATTATGCACATTTTTGGTAATAAGGTTTCATATATGGTATTGGTAAGAAAAAATCCTTTTATAAAATTACCTAAATAGCCATTCACTATACCGCTTAAACAAAAAATAATCGGTGGATGTATAATATGTATAATCATATATAATTAATACATAATTGGCCAAATACATAAATAGCCCCTTAAACTTGTCATCAAATTTCATTTAGACACTTCAACTAAAACATTTTCCTATTAGACACTTGAACTTCAATCAATTTGTATCAATTAAATACGTATTTCACAATACTAGACTAAGTTGAGCGAGTGAATGTCACTTGCTGTGAGGTGGAAAATAAAGCCAATAATAAAAATACACGTCAGCACAGAAAAAAGTCAAAAAAAAAGCAGAGAAGAAAAAGTCTTCCAAAGAATTTTACTCGTTGCTCATCCATAAGCCTTCCATCTATTCCCACCATTGAAGCACCCCAAGAGCTAACACCACTAGAAAAAGAAGTGTAATCGAGTTCTCAGAGACGCCAAAAAAGAAGAAGTTCTGAGAGACCGCCATTATAAAATCAAATCTGTATAAAAAAACAACTCCACTACAGCTAAAGTTTATGACTACCATCTTACATATATAACTTTTTTCTTTAAATTACTCGAAGAAAGTAGGAGAATCCTTCTTCGTTTCTGTTACACTAATATTACCATTTCACAATCCCAAATGTATATTCTTGAAGTTCTATATATCCTCTTGAACTTTATATTTTAATCTCTTTATTAGCGAGATTGCGACCATACATGGAAGATCTCCGGCCAAGTATTCGGTGGGTCCCACGATCGGAGACTGAAGATCGTGAGCGGAGAAGGATTCAGTAACTTTTTCCAGAAAAGAAAAAGGATAACGCAAATTTTTTAGAAAGTATATGCTATGGACTCTATTTCTCAAAGAGAAATGAATATTAGATCTAGTGAAATTTGCAGGAGAAGAAAAGTAAAAGACAAAATGGCCAAAAATAGCAGAGGTAGAACGTTGTTTAGAGAGAAGTAAGAGAAAGGGAAAAAAGATGAAATAGTCACTTAAGTTTTTCTTTTTCTCTGCTAATACTTATTTTTGGTCAATGTGAGCCCTAACATAAAACTATTTAACGCTCTCAAATGCTGTATGGAACACGCACAGTACCACATCAACAACTTGTGTTCAATTGGCACATTTTTACATAACATTAGCTGTTCAATAGGCCAACCCCTTAGTTAAAGTGTCTAAATGAAATTTGGTGACAAGTTTAAGGGGCTGTTTATGTATTTGGCCTATATAATTTATATACCATCTAAAAAAATTAGCACTGCATCCGCTCTGCTTTTTCTGTAAAGATTCAGAAAAATTATATACTCCATCCGTTCACTTTTACTTGTCAAGTATTCTAAAAATGAATTTTTATTTTTACTTGTCACTTTTCGCATATCAAGAGAAAAATAATTTATTTTTTCTATTTTGCCCTTAGCATTAATTACTCATTCCAAATTATTTTCCAAATTCATTAAGACTATACACCAATTAATATGGGTATCATGATAAATTATACACTTTACTTATTATTTGGCGAAATACATAAACGGCCCCTCTAAGTTGTCCACAACGACCAGACAAACACCTCAACTAAACCTTTTACCATTTAGACACTTCAAGTGTCCATTAACCAGATCAAATGAACACATATTGCTGATGTGGTATGCGCGTGTTTGCTAATAAAATTTTAAGCGCGTGAATTATTTTTTCAGCCTAATTTTTATTTTTTGAAAAAACTTAAGAATTGGGCGTATCTTAGCCTCTCTTCTTGGCTTGACTAACCCACGCACGTCAACGTCACCGAAACCACCATTAAAAACCAGCCACTAAAACTCCAACCAAGCTACCGAAAATCACCAGAAAGTTTTCGGTTTTAACTGCGACAGCTTAATTATTGACTGAATGAAGTTTTGTGATGATGTGCAAACTAGAGAAGGGTTAATGTTCTTATTGTTTGCCCCCTTCTTGAAAGTGCACTTTCCTATGTCGTCTTCCTTTTCTCCCATGTCATTTTGTTCAATTCATCTCTCCATAAATAAACAAAGAATCCAGTAATAATCAACAACAAATAGTAGCAGTAAGAAAGAATCAACAGCGGCCACGACTACCGCCGCCCATAAAAGTCGTCGGCTCCGGCAATATATAACAAAAGAATTTCACAGATCAGAGAATTAAACCATCAAAGTAGCATAAAAAATAGCTACAACAGCAGATCCGACGACGACAACTCTGTTCAAGGAAGCAGAGTTGGGAGATGAGGTAGGAGAACCGCTGGGAGAGGCACTGATGGATGGAGGAGGAGCACCACCGGAAGGAGATGAAGCCGGAGTATCGACGGTTGGTGGAGATAGAGGAGATGCCAATGGAGATTCAGATGGAGAAGAAGCAGTAGTAGGAGCATTAGCAGGAGCAGAGACAGGTGTTACTGCAGATGGAGGAGTCGCCACCGGAGGTGACGATGCTACCGGTGGTGGAGAACTCTTCGGAGAAGCTGCCGGAGTTTTTTATTTCTTAAATGCATTTTCATTTTTTGTTTATTATATGTGTCAAATTTCTATTTACAAATTGTCGAAATTGGAGGTCAATTATCCATAGACCTCCATTGATGAGCTAGGATGAGCTTCGGAGAACATTCTGGAAACCAGAGGAGTTGGGAAAATGAAGACTAACTTTATTATCTCATGTCTAAACACATTATATACACGTGTAATTGGGAAGGAAAATAAAATGACTACTAACTATAAAAATGACACTACAACGAACTCAACTAGTCAGCTAACTAACCCAGCTACCTGATTAACTAACTCAACTACACATTTATAAATATTACATCAATTATTCTCAATACCCCCCCTCAAGTTGGAGGTGAGGAAGTCACTGCCAACTTGCTGAGAAGATTAGAATGTTGGACTCCTGTGAGAGCCTTAGTGAGGATGTCAGCTAATTGAACAGAAGTGGAAATATGGTGTAGTTCAATAAGCCCTTCTTGTATCTTGTCCCGGACAAAATGACAGTCTACTTCAATATGCTTTGTCCTCTAATGAAACACGGGATTTCTTGCAATATGAACAGCAGCTTGACTGTCACAAAATATAGTTATAGGATCAGCACACATGACTGTCAACTCTTCCAGCAATCTCTTTATCCACACCAATTCTCCCACAACTTTTTTAATTGACCTATACTCTGCCTCAGCAGAGGATAATGAAACAGTAGTTTGTTTCTTTGACTTCCAACTTATAGGACTATCCCCAAGTAGCACAATATACCCACTCACAGATTTTTTTGAATCAGGGCAAGCAACCCAATCTGAGTTACAATAAGCACTTACATTGTAGCTGGGGTCATTGGACAAGAAGATTCCCAAAGTAGGGTCTTTCTTCAGATATCTAAGGACATGAACAACTGCCTTTAGGTGAGGTTCCCTTGGTGCTTGCATGAATTGTCTTAGATGCTGGACACTGTAGGCTATGTCCAGTCTAGTGTTTGTTAAGAAATTCAGCTTCCCAACTAGCTTCCTGTAGTACCCTGGATCAGGCAAGAGGGTTCCTTCATCTTTGCTCAGTTTGACAGTAGAGTCAAGTGGAGAACTGACAGGAGAGTATGTCAAACAGTCATACTCTTTCAGCAGGTCTATGGTGAACTTTCTCTGACAGATTAGTACTCCATCACCCTTGTACAACATTTCTAGCCCCAAGAAGTAGTGTAATTTCCCAAGATCCTTTATCCTAAACTGATTATGCATGAAGGTCTTCAATTCTGTGATTTCCTCCAAGTTGGTACCAGTTAGAATACATCATCCACATAAACAACTACAAAAACTGCTGAGTTCCCCAGCTTCTTGTAGAACAATGAGTGATCAATGTCTGAGTGTTTGAAACCCCTAGAGTGTAGGGATTCTGTCAGTTTGTCATACCACTGCATGCTGGCTTGTTTTAGACCATATAGTGACTTCCTAAGTCTGCATGCTAGATTCCCAGTAGGTACCATTAGACCTTGTGGAACCTCCATATATACCTCTTCATGTAGATCTCCATGCAAAAATGCATCTTTGACATCTAGTTGATAGAGATTCCACCCTCTCTTTACTGCAATGCTGATTAGTGTTCTGACTGTGGTCATTTTTACCACTGGTAAGAAAGTTTCTGTGTAGTCAATTCCTGCTTCTTGTGTATAACCCTTCACTACCAGCCTTGCTTTGAACCTTTCCATACTCCCATCTGCCTTATGTTTGATCTTGTATACCCACTTGCAGCCTATAGTTTTCTTTCCTGCAGGTAACTCAACTAGGTCCCAAGTATGGTTAGCATATAATGCTTCAAATTCCTGTGTCATTGCCATTTGCCAAGCAGGATTCATAGATGCCTCCTCATATGAAGATGGCTCACAATCATGTGTATTTCTAATTAATTGCTGACTTTCAAGTTGTAAAACATTAAATGAGACATGATGTTTATTGTTGCAGATTGCATTGAAGGATGTGGTACTGGTATGAAGATCAGGCTCTGTGCTTTGGTATTGCAGTGTTGGTAAGGAATACACATAGTCCTTGAGGTGTGCTGGGGTAGTGTGGGTTCTGCCTGATCTTCTGGGATTTGGAGGATTTATTTGGAGGATGTTAGATTCAGTGATTTGAGGGCTAGTGACCTGTGCTTGTGTAAATTGCTAGAAAGTAGGACTGTTGGACTGGTAAAGGAGGGCTCTTGCTGTTTCAAGTAGGTATTTGTGTTTTCTTTCCACCACACTATTTTATTGTGGTGTGTATGGACTAGTTTTCTGATGAATTATGCCCTTTTCTTAAAAGTAGGTCATATTTTCATTGTTGACAAATTCTAGACCATTATCAGATCTAATGGTTTTAATAGAGGTGTCAAATTGATTTTCAATCATGGATAGAAAGCTTTTAATGGCATGAAAGGTGTTGCTTTTGCAGCTTAGGAGCTGGGTCCAGGTTGACCTACTAAAATCATCAACCATGGTAAGGAAGTATTTGTAATTGTCATGTGTTGGTGTATGATAGGGCCCCCACAGGTCTACATGCAGTAGCTCAAATATTTTAGTGAATGAGGTGGTTCTTTCAGGGAATGGCAATCTAGTCTGTCTAGCCATTGGACAGATTGAGCAAATAAAGGGCTGTTTGGGTACAAACTTGACTGGTAGAGTGGATATTTTTCTCATTTTTACAAAAGGTACATGTCCTAGCCTATTGTGCCATAAATAATCAACATTACTTCCAGAAGATGCAGAACAAACAGAAGAAGAAGTTGAGCTAAAAGGATCAGTTTTATTGCATGAATGGACACTATTTACATTGTTCAATGAGTAAGATGGATCATTTATAGTTGGTAATGAGTGAGATGGATGAATGTGATCCTTTTTACTACTAGCATTCTTGTCAGAAATGGAAATACAAGAATGAGACTGACTAGGAACAATAGATGGACTCAAGCTTGAACAGTTGTGACACTTTGAACAGAGGAAGTATAATCCACTTCTTGCCTTACCAATCTCCAGAGGCCTCTTCATTGAAGGGGCCTGCATTAGACAAAGATACTTATTGAAATTAACCATGCAATCAAGATGCACTGTTAATGAGTGAATTGAAATAAGGTTGTATTTGAAACTAGGTACATACAAGACTCTAACCAAGGTTAGCTTAGGACTGAGTAAAACATCACCAATTTCTGTCACTTTCACCTTATATCCATTTGGTAAGGTAACAAGGAAGGGGTAAGGTAAAGTTCTAATGTTGGTGAGGAAACTTTTTCTATATGTCATGTGGTTTGTAGCTCCACTATCTAGTATCCATAAATCAGCAATTGAATTTGAACATTTACACATAGTTGTTTCAGCTATCTCTTTATAAGTACAACAAGCTAGAATACCTGCGAAGTTAACAGATCCACTAGTGATCATGTTTGGACTGCACTGTTGACTTTAAAGTTCTCTAGCAAACTCAACAGCTGGTTGTATTGTTCTCTTGTTAGGTTCTGAAGGTTCTGATTCTGATTCCTGCTCTCAGCATCTTCATTGTTGCATACTTGCATTTCTTCACACTGACCATGCACATTTGCAGCAGATCCTGTGTTTCTTCCCCTTGTAAACTTGAAGTCTTGTGGAAATCCATGTAATTTGTAGCATTTTTATTTGGTATGTCCCTGCTTTCTTACAGTAATCACAAAACAACTTGGACCTATTTGGAGGAAATGCAGGTCTATAGGAATTCTGTCTTGCAGTGTTGCCCTGTGGGTTATAATTGGTCCTAAATTTGTTGTTTCCTGGTTAGTTGACATTCAGAGAGGTGGAATCCATGATTAGCCGATTGTTTGGCCTAATTTCTCTCTGCTTTTCCTCTTGGATAAGGATGGAAAAGGCCTGTGCAATACTAGGCAAGGGGTTCATTATCAGAATACTTCCCCTGACCACTGTGTAAACTTCATTGAGTCCCACTAGAAATTGAATTAATCTTCGATCTTGTTCTGCCTTGTACAGATTTGCCTTGGCACCACATGTGCACTGACATCCACATTGGGCATGTGCGTTCAAGGTATTAAGCTCCTCTCATAGCTTTTTCATTTTGGTGTAGTATCTGGTTATGTCCAGGGTTCCTTGATTTAGATCGTTAAGTTCCTTTTGTAACTGATAGAGTTTCGCTCCGTTTGTCTGATAATACCTGTCCTCGAGCTCTTACCATAACTCCTTGGCGTCACTCACATATTGTAAATGTTGGCCCAAGTAAAGGTTAGTTTTGAAGACTGACAAAGGAACTCAGACATGAACCAGGTCCATCCAGTGGTCCATCCCTCAGGTTCACAAAAACGGGCAGATTCAAGCATGTGGGATGCACGTGAAGGAGATAAGCTTAACTTGGTGTATTTAATATCTCCTGATCGAAAAGGTTGCATAATTGATAAGGAGAAGGAGTCCTTAATCAAAGAGAACACTATTCAAGATAGGGAAGGAGTTAGAAGTTGAAATCAACTAGAACTCTTCCACCAAGGAAGAGTTGCATCAGAACTCTAGTTATTTCTTCATCTACTAACTCTATAAATTGCAGGATGTTCTCACATTAAAGGGGTTGCACAAAAACGCAGAAGTTAAACGTGAATTGAGAGCAAAATAGCAAGGCTTTTTGCAAGCAGTTCGTGTGTGATTCAAGTGTGCAAACCTGAAGCTACATGAACCAGATTGAAGAACCAACTCCATAAAGAGTTTTATGTGTCTTTCTTTATTTTTAGTTCAATTGTAGTAAGTGTTTCATATTGTACCTTTCAGCTTTATCTAGAAGCAATTGTAATAGGTATATTGAGTATTCAAGTTAGAGTTAACTTGAAGTTGTCGCAGCAGTTAGAGGCTGGTTGCCACAATGGGATTAGAGTTAATCCTTAGGTTTACAAAGAGTTTTGTAAATGCTGTTTTGGCTCAGTAATTTTAGTGGAAGTTTGGGAAAATCCTACTGAGTAGTAGGTCGTGGTTTTTTCACCTTTTGAGCCAGGTGTTTTCCACGTAAAAATCTCTATGTTCTTTATTTTCTGTATTTATTATTCCGCAAACAGCAGTAGTTAGTACATCTAGAAGAACTAGGTTCTTCTAGAGCGAAAATTGGGTACCACACAAATCACTCCCCCTCTTGTGTGGTATTGACGTTTAGAACATCAATTGGTATCAGAGAAGGTTATCCTTGAAGAGGCTAACACCTTAGGAACAGATCAAGATGAGCGCACCACCTGAAAACTGGGAAGGGCAATCCACTGATAGGCCTCCACTCTTTAATGGCCACTACTACTCTTGGTGGGAAAACAGGATGAGAGATCATATCATCGGAGAAGACTATCAGCTATGGGACATTGTCACTGATGGTCCCCTAGCTACCATGAAGAAGAATGCTGAAGGAGTAGATGTGCCAAAAATAAGAGCTGACTGCAATGCTGAGGACTTGAGAAAGTGGGAAAAGAATGCAAAGGCCAAGAAATGGCTTGTGTGTGGACTTGGTCCAGACGAGTACAGTAGAATTCAAAGTTGTACCACTGCTAAGGAAATCTGGGACACTTTGCAAGTGGCTCATGAAGGAACACCTCAAGTGAAGAGGTCTAGAGGAACACTGCTGTATTCTCAATATGAGAATTTCACCATGAAGGAAGGGGAAACCATCCAAGAGATGTATACAAGGTTCACCACACTGACAAATGAACTTAAGTCTCTTGGAAGGGTTATTCTTGAAGAAGACAAAGTTGAGAAGATTTTGACAAGGGTACTGCCAATCTCTTGGGAAAGCAAAATCACAACTATTCAGGAATCAAAGAACATTGCCACTCTTAAGTTGGATGAGCTAATTGGAAATCTCACTGCCTATGAACTTAGAAGGCAAACCATGAAGATGGATGCACCCAAGAAGGAAAGGAGCATGGCATTCAGAATCACTGAAGGTACTGATCTAGAGGAGGATGAAATAACCATGATCACAAAGGATTTCAAGAAGTACCTAATGAGAGGAAATGGTCCTTCAAGAAGTGGAAGCTACAACAAACAAGGGCTCCTGAAAAACAAACCAGTGAGGGGTGTTACAAGTGTGGGAAGACTGATCACCACATCAAAAATTGCCCTCAATGGGAAATTGAATGGAAGAAGGAAAGAGCTGAACGAAGGAACAGGAAGAAGGAACAGGTTCAACCCAAGAAGAACAAA